CTATTAAAACGTTTTCTCAGAGCTAAGAATTCATGAAATAACTCTTTCCTCTTAAATCTTATAATAATAACGTTTAGCTAATTAGAGGTATCGATAGCAGGCGTTCGTTCTAGTGGGATATCAAGAGGTGTTCATTAATACATCAAATAAAGTTATAATTATTAATTAATTATAATTATAAAAATTAAAATAGAAGGATTTATTAATATTTTTAATAGATTGGCGGCCAAGATAATTCAAAAATAAGTAGAATGGATGAACAAGATTTGCCGAGGAAGGAAACTCAAGCCCCTTTTATAATAGTAGTATAGATAGTATAGAATATTACAGTGGCAGATCAGAATTTTTCATAGAAGGGCACTTTTTTTTTTAAACCCAAATAAACATCCATTTTACATTTCTGCAAGTTAACAATGGTTATATAATTCATTTAAGTTGATAAAATTGAAATAAAATCAAAAATATAATTTAATCCATTTTATAATATTTTAAAAACACAAATTTTATAAAATCCATCCAAAGTCAATCACGAAATTACAAAATCTCAAACCACCCCGAATTTCTACTCATTTAAATTCAAATGAGAGAACACATAGAGAGTAAATTGAGAGCTAACCAAACGACGCGTTGTAATTATTCACGTAATCCAACCCCTTAATTATTTGTTGGTGCACCAGCGTTATTGGCCAAACTCCAGGCTAACTTCCAATCTCTCTCTGGCAAATGATCTGGCTATGAACCCATCTCCCAGTCCCAAGCTCCCCATAAAGAAAATACAGGAAAGCCAAAATAATGATAGGTTGTCGATCCCAATCCTAATCAACTATTCATTATCTTGCAAAAAATTTCATTGCTGTCTTCCATCCTTCAAACTATGCAGCATAAGACATTAATTAAAATGTCTGTGTCCATGAAATTCATTCGTTTACTGTGAGACCATTTCATCAAACATCCTATCAATAGACATCATGAGGAGCCTACCGCCTAGAGTTTCTCAATAGCATCTATTCTCATTTTGACATTCCCTCCTGCGATGAGTCTCCTTGGCACTAGTCTTCTACTACCCCAAAAGTATATACTTGTCACTCATATTTCCCTATAATATATACATAAACCCTTTGCCTATAATTATATAGTAGTATATAATTCAAGTTATAGGTCCATATATTATCTAACAACAAACCTATTATTCATCTATGTGATCTCTAAATATGATTATCTATGTACAATAAATGAATAGTGCAGGTTCACGTACAGTAATCTTCATACTAGCTCAATGGTTGAAATTATTAGCGAATACAGAGGTGAGTACGTATTTGACTCACTATCTCCCTAATGCCATTAAACCAATTGCTTTGTGTTGTAGTACTTGATATAGTTATGAATTTCATCCCTATCCCATTCCCCTTTTTTCTTTTTACTATATCATAAAATAAATAGGATCTAGCATACCCCTAACACTTGCCTCATGGATGCTGCCAGTAGCAACCCTCTTATTCGAATTATAATTAGGTAATAGAATACCCAAAGTTCACCGATTGCCATACATCTAAGCATGAACTATCAAGACAACACAATTCGATACATGTACTTCCCGATATTCTCCAAGCGCACATTTCCACAAGACTCGGCTTAGTGATCAGCGTAGAAACATAATATGATATGAACAATATGTTCACAAACAAATGTCCGAAAGAATGCCATAACTGATACTAATAGTCCCTTGTATGTCAGGATAACATACATAAATTAAGATTTATAAATATACGGTTTTATAATTAGCTTAAAGCATCGTTACCAAATCGAAGTAGCGCGCCAGCCACTTCAAACCAGTTCCATGTACTACTGTCATTGTTTCTATCAGTTCATAGGTGATGCAGCCACCTTTTCTTTTTGCCACTCTTTTTTGAAATCAAGAGCACACTATACCCATAGTAAATTATAAATGATAATTTATTAGTTTTGAAATTAACACTCATCTCTCCTACCTCTCTCTCTTTCAAAGTCGCCACCACTTCTTCCTTTGTTGTCGAAGCAGCTGCCCCCCTCAGTTTCAATCCTGCGATTTTTTTTAATAAATAAATATAGGCAGCTCATCTTCATCTGGTGGTTCAGAGTTTTGACTCATCTTGATATATGAGAGTTTAACTTAATTGGCTTAAATGTCCAAATAATATATGTTTGGGTTAATTTGTAAGCTTTCATTTTTAATTTTAGATTTTAAATTGAAAAAGATATATGAAATTTTTTACAGATAAACTAAGTTAGTTAGAAAAATAAATATTAAAAAAAATAGTATGAAAATTTTAAACTTAATTTTAATTAAAAAAAAATTGATCAGAAAATTTTGTTCGGAACTAATAAAAAATAAGAAGAAGATATTGTGATAACCCTTCGATCCTTCGACGACGATGTACTGGCCCATCACCCGGCCGCCGACTTTCAGCGGAGAGTCGGTCAGATCGATGCCAATTCGAGTGGGAGCCATTACTGCACCTAATAACTTAATTCTTAAACCACTGCATGCTATGGCTATATACAAAGAGCTATTTATAGGCTCGATTGCGTGATTTTAGCCGTTGATTTTAAATTATTGCATGTAATAATTGTAACGTACGGATTTATTTTTTAATATTTGTGAGAACTTGGTTTTGGAGCGTCCACGCAGCAGCCTGTGAACTAATCTTTTTGCGTCCACATATAATTGCCTAAATATAAATTTATTTAGAAAAAAGTACGGAACTTCACAATGGTGCGAAGCTTAATCTACGAGTCTTATAATAGTATCTGGAATAATTATTGTGTCCGGATATCAAAGATCAATAATAGAGCGTCATGTCGCTTGAATGTTCATTACAGCACTCGGTATCCCTTCGTAATTGTCCGGATTTTCAATTTTTTTTTCCGGACGTAATAACTTTTCCATGACCTGACCCGAAATTTTAATCGGGTCATAAATCGATTTTTTAAGTGGGTTGATTCAAATCGAATTTTCATGCAGGTCGTGTCACATATTAACATCCCTATTATAATGGTGGGTGGGAGAAGATAAGATGAAGCGCTTAGACGCAGATGTGCAAGTGAAGTCGGCATCACCACTCACCATGCGCCAACTAATCCAAAGGTAGCAATCATTGATAGTTAAACATGCAATGTGCTTAATATTAATTTCATAAATTTTTAGTAAACTTTGGAATTAATCTATGGGACATATTTTACACAATGTAAATATAATTATTACGGACTGAAATATATATTTAAAATAAAAAATAATTATGCATCATGTAATATTTACAATGGTAGAAAAATATAAAATTTAGCGTCCTAATTTTGTATAAAGATTTAACACGCAAACAGATGAAATATATGAGTGTATCATTTATAAGAGACACTAAAATTTTTATGTGGAAACCTCTAAAAATCATGAGGTATTTCCCACTTTAAATAAATCCACTAGTATTTGCAGTTGATTATAAATAAGGTTCTTCCTTGGGGGAAATGTCTTGGCTTGATGTAGCAAATATACATCATATAGAGTGCATTATATGATAGGAGTTAGAAGAATCAGTGTTAAAATGTTCGTTTGGTCGGCAGAGCATAGTCGGCGAACGATGTAGGTTGTTAGGACCGTAATCAGGTGACTGTGGTCGGAAGAACCGTAGTTAGGCAACGATGGTCGGAAAAACCATAGTCGGTAGACGACAGAGATTAGAAAGACTGTATAAAGTCCATAGTCGGGCGATGGTGATTGGAAGAATCATATTCGAGTAACGATGGTTGAAAAGATTGTATAGTCGGCAGGTGACAAAGTTAAGAATGACCATAGTCAATAGATAGTCGTCAAAAGGGTCATAGTCGGATGAAGGTGATTGGAATGATCATAGTCAGTAGGCAATGAAGGCCATAAATACCATAGTCAGGCGACGATGCGATGATGGTCAGAAGGACCACACTAGTATGAAGGTGGATAGAAGGATCGTAATCGATAAGAGACGGTGGTCGTAAAGACAATAATCCGCCGACAATGGTTGGAAGGACCATAGTCTAATGAAGGTGGTGGGAAGGACTATAGTTGGTAGGCAACAGAGTTTGAAAATACTGTAGTCGAGTGATGCCTGGTGGCTCGACAAAAGTCTGGAGACGGCTTGTGGCTAGGCAAAAAGTCTAGCGACGGTCGATAGTCGGGGGTAAATCTGACATCAGTTGGTGGTCGGGTGGAAGTCGGGCGATAATTTGTGGTCGCACATAAGTCCGACGATGATTGGTGGCCGAGCATAAACCCAATACAGTTGGTGGTTGGGCTAAAGTTTGACAACAACTGGTGATCAGATGAAAATCTGGTGACAATCGATGGTCAAACGGAAGTTCGACGATAGTCGATGGCCGGGTAGAAGTCCGGCTATGATCGGTAGCCAGGCGATGGTCAAGGAGTCTAGCAGCATTGCCAGTAAATAAGAGAAGCTTAAGGGCATGTTGAGAGTGTTTCAAATGGACGACCGATATCGATTCATTTGATCATAAACCATTTATTAAGTATTTAAATGATTTAATGATGTCAAAATTCGACGATCTTGGACTCGTTTGATTCGTCTCATCTAGCCGCTCGATTTGACTATAAGCATGGCACATTTGAAAATCATTCACTCGTCCAATTTATGGTTTGAAAATTCTAAATGGGGTTCAAAGTTATTAATTTGGAACCATTTGAGCTCGAATTGAGTCGAATTTGGTTTCGTTAGGTTCGTCTTATTGAGATGTCAATCCTAATTTTGTATTCGCCACATATATGTATTAAAGAAATAAAATATTGGAGACATCAAAATTTTTTTTAAAAAAAAAAATTTGACAATTAACAAAAACTATGTGGCTGACCTAATGAAAATAATCCACTAAATAGCTGAAAATGTAAATTATTCTCTTCTTCACAATTATAATAGAGATTGTGTGAACAATAATATAAGAATAATAATAGCAGTCAAATGTTGTATGTCATACAACAATGTTCTAAAAATGATAGTCAAGTAAGAACAGTTAGACAATATTAGTCAGGTGATGATGAATGGTTTATGATGTCGGGACAACAATGTTCAAATGGTAAACGGAAGATGGCAACAATTAGATGATATATTATAACTCAATCAGATAGCTTAATATATGATTTTCATTCTGCACATATATCTTATTATATATATTATAAAATATGTAAACCACTAATATATAAGAAAATATATTAAAAAAAAGTAGAATGTGACAATAATTGAGGCTCACTGGTCCCTAAGATCAAGATATATACATATCTCCATAATGGTGAAGGCAACGCCTTCATAAACCAACAAATCAGTCGATGCAAGAATCACAATGATAAAATGCAATTAGCAACCTTAATTATAAAATTAATTTCTTATTTTTTTCTTATTAAAATTTTGAAGTGCTTATTTAGGTCTTGTTTGTGACGGCTTTTTTAGTGCTTCTTAAAATAAATTTTTAATAAAAAAATAAAATTTTTTGACTAAAAAGTTATTTTAAGAATTAGTAAGAAAGCCATCCCAAATGAAACATTAGTTGGAGCTTTATTCCAAAGTTACAAAAAGCTACTTCATACTACTAAGGCTTTGTTTGGGACGGCTTTCATGATGCTTCTTAAAGCAGCTTTCTAGTTAAAAAATAAAAATTTTTCTACCAGAAAGCTGCTTTAAGAAGCAGCAAGAAAGCCGCCCCAAACGAAGCCTAAGTACATGCCATTTAAAGGGACATAAGACCGCTGATAGACTAAGCATTTGCTTTTGGAGAAATTATGACGTGCATAGTCCAGCTGTAACTTTGCGTTCGGACACCAATTAAATGCTGACATGTGGATTTATTATATTTATATTTTTTTCTTTGCGATCTGATGACCCAACCTGATCCAATTACTCGTTTTTTACTTTTCTAAAAAAAGAAGTCCATGAAATCGTCCAAATATTTGGAGTTTTGACAAAATATCAATCTTGATACCTACTGAGAAAGAAAAACTAGAAACAAATGATGATGATGGAAATTGGTTTGGATGATATTGCATTCTTCGAGGAGATGAAATACAGTAAGCAAAATGTCTTAGAAGACCTAAAGATAACAAGACTGCATCCAACTATAGGAGATAAATTGAGGTTATTATCGATAAATTTTAAACTCTCAAGTTTTACTGTGATTTCTGTAAATATTTAATTTTTGGGATTCAAAGGGTATTTTTTTAATTATTTATATGTTAAATACTGCAAAGAAGCATGCCTTAGCTATAAATTTTTTTCTCTTTTTGAAACTTTTCGCGCGCACTTGTACACGATTGTGTATTAGGGAAAGTAAGTTGGAAATATGATTTTTTTTCATAATACACATCTATGTACTATTGTGTATAAACTTATATACAATGATATCAATAATTTATGTATTTTTTGTTCATTTTTAAGCTTCTTTAGCTTGTACACAGTTGTGTATAAGGAAAATTATTCTAAAAATATATTTATTTTTTCTAATACAGAGTTGTGTGTTGCTGTATACAAGCTTTGTATTGGCGATGTCAATCATTTTTGTGTTGTATTTCTTCATTTGAAAGCTTTTTTAGCTTTTACACAGCATATGTTAAAAAAAATATGTTAGAAATACATTACTCTTCCCAATATACAACTATGTATTTATATGTACAAGCTTTGTATTGGCTATCTCAATCATTTTTTTTGTGTTGTATTTGTTCATTGAAAGCTTTTTGAGCTTTTACACAACTATACATAAGGAAAATTACTTTAGAAATGTGATTTTCTTACATGTTACACACTATGTAGCCTGTAGAAGCTTTGGAACTTGACCACATTGTTTGTAGAAGCAGTTTCCACTCCAAGAGCCAGCAAGCAAACAACAATTGAAGAATCCACTGAAGAATTCTCCAATCCTCAATTGTACATGCAATTAGCGGGCTACTTATAGTACCTGACTCTCACACACCCGAACATTACGTTTGATGTTCAACGAATGTGTCAACACATGCATAACCACTCATGTGTCACTTTGATTCCCTCAAACGTCTACTGCGATATGTTCAAAGTACTACCTCTCATGGGTTGTTGTTACACATGAATTCTCTGATGTTACACAACTATATATGCATATTCCGATTGGGTTGGAGACTATCAAGATCACAGATCCATCTATGGATACTGCAATTTCTTGGGCATATTATTGATTTCTTATCAGGTTAAAAAGCATCTAACAGTGGCATGCTCATCCACTGAAGCTAAATTTCTAGCATTTGCCTCAAAAATCATTTGGTTAAGACGTCTCCTTACTAATTTGAATACAACGTCAACCGCCCCAACGTCTCATACTATGATAATACTTCAGCAATTGCTTTAGCAACCAATATGTTCTTTCATGCTCATACAAAACAAGTTGAGATGGATTGTCATTTCATCAGAGGCTGCATTCAAACCAAACAAATTATTGTACATCATATAACAGCCCAAGATTATATAGTCGACATCTTCACTAAATCCTTATCAATTACTTGGTTTAAGAAGTTATTTACGACTACAACATCATCAGTTTGAAGGGGAATGTGAAGATAATGTACAAGAGTACATAGTGGAATTCATAAAGCTTCTATTCTGTTATAAGTGGATTTTTATTTGGTCCGGTGCAAGGACCTAGAGGAAGGTTCGGTTTTGCCTAAAAAAGTACAAATACCGAGAACGCTACAAGAAAACTTGCACGTGTTTTAACCGGTGCAGTAGATCAAAAAAAATGTTGTGAAAGTCAAATTTATTAGTATTGGTGGTTTAAAAAACTAGTAACTATTTCATTAGATTGCAATTACAATAATGTTAAAGTAGTTATAAACTCGCTGCAAGTATTTTTAAGAAGATTAAACTCCATGTTGTGACGTCTTAAAATCCCTTTGAAAATATATCTTCTTTTTTTGGTGGTCCTTCACTTTGAGAACATATACGCTACATACACGCAGATAAATAAAAAAACAGCTCAAACAAGCACGTGAAAACACAAGCATCACAATAATTTATAGTATAATCACGTTGTTTCAAGTCAAACACAGGTTGGCGAGATTTGCAAGAAATTACTTTAGTCAGAATCTTCAACACAAATTTAAGTTTCATTTGAGATGATTTTTTACTATTTTTAAGCTTTTTTTATATAAAAATTTAAATTATAATGTTTTGTACATGAGAAAAATGATTCATGTAGCCAAACCCACGTAGTGGGATAAAGGCTTGATGTGTTGTTGTTGTTGTATTAATTTTTTAAAATTTATTTTCGAAACTCACTTGATATTTCTTTTTGGAAATCTACTTTGAAATGATTGTAATCATCATATTCATATAGTGGCTAACGAACGATACTCTCTTTCTCCTAACAGATTTGTCGTGTGTTAGCATCAACCAGAATATGAAATTAACGATCCCAATTCTCTTAATTATCATAGTTCGATTCTAGGTTGAACCTCACGGGGCCAAATGCGGCTCTCCTTTAAATTAGACAACGACAATTAAGAGAAAACTTATAATTCCAATTCTAAACCTGTTAGGAGATTTTATCTCTACCTTTCGAGATGATATATCATCTCTGATGGTCAGTTTGACTTCAAAATTGAAACTCAAACTTTGTTTCCTAAAAGAAATATTTAAAGCTCAAATTAGTATTCTTTGGAAAAATTTAACCAACGACGATCACTATCGTCATATCTGAATAATTGTCAAGTAATGATATCCCCTTCCTTAAGGGAGTTATATCATTTGTTAATAAGGATTCAGGCATGAGATCAACGATAGTCCACTTAAAATAACATAGTTAGAAATTAGATCGAACTTCATTTTGTCCTTTAGAGATCATATGCGGTTCTATCCTAAATCCGGTTATGATATTAAAAGTGGAATTTGTAATTTCAAATTTGAACCCCACTTTGAAATTTTATCTCCACTTTTTGAAGTGGTATAATTTTTCTAATAGGACATTCGATCTCAAAATTCAAATTTAGAAGTCAATTTTAGAGTTCCAAAGAAAACTAAACTTTTCCAAAAACATGTTTTTTCAAAATTTTACCAACAACAGACATTTTAGTAAATTTGGCCAGATCTGAAGCACTCAATCATTAGATTCATGTTGATTCACTTAATCATAAATCATTTATCAAATATTTGAATGTCTTAATGAGGTTAGAATGAGTTATCTAAGGCCCATTAGATTCTTTTTATCGAGTTGCTCGATTTGAATATAAGCAAGCATGTTAATTAGATGCCATTTGGTACATCAATTTATTTTGTAGAGCTTTCAAACATAACCCAAGAGATCTTAATTAGAGCTCATTCAGAGTCAGATTGGATCAATTGTAGCATCAAATATTTGTCTTATCGAGATGTTCAATTTGACTATAAATATACTGAAATCACAGTTTGGTGATTCCAAAATTATTAATTCTAAAAACATTCACTATTAGAATACAACAACCATATATTAAGATGATAAAAGACGCACACATACATACTACTAAATGACAGACTTATACATTGAACACATGGTACGTAGTATACAAAATGAAGGACATAAACGAGCCATGTAGGGAAATAAAACATACGTGAAAAGGTACGTACGTACCACCCTCCCCATCCATGCATTTGTGGAGAGCTTTCCTTTATTTGAAAGCAAAGAGACACTTTAATATATTGTAATTAACACTAGGCATGGCTGGAAGTCCATATACGATATATTCATGGTCAACACACCCAGCCACTCTGATTTCAGATAAACATTAGGATCATCTGCCAGGTGTCGACTCTGGGAATTCAGCTTGTCCTTGGTCCTCAGGAATTTTTGGAGTATTCAACGGGTAAATCGGTATCTTCTTATCCTCGTAAGACAAATACACAGCGTCGTACACCACAATTTCATCAGGATTATCTATCCCTTCCCACACCTCAGCCTTGCTGAATTTCTCTTTCACCGCCTTCCTCACTTTCTCCGACCTTGACGCCTTACCGACGAACACCACCTTATCCACCTTAGTCTTCTTGATGTTTAGAATCTCCACTACATTCTTTAGAATACCAGCCAAAGCGTTCTGAAATGGGTCCACAACGAGTGCCTTCACAGCTCCTCCAATAATTCGTCTTGTTCCACTCCCACTACCCTTTCGATCCTTAGACTCATCCAAGTCGATCACCTCAGGATGAGCTTCGTGCGCCTCCAGGACGAAATGATAGTGTTCATATTGGTTTATTGGGGGAACTATGGAGACCGCGCTGATTTCGAGGATGCCACCCGTTAGAGAAATGATGGCGAGGTTCGTGGAGATTTTTGGTTGAACCTTCTTGGCATAGACGGCAGAAACGGCGCTGTGTTCTTTGATGACTTGTGTGATGTTGAAGCCATTGCCCCTCCCGTACGAGATTATGTCATCTTGGTGTTTTTCACTCGTGTTGTTAGGAATGACTATAACGGCAGCGTCGAATTTTGGGGCCCCGAAGGAGCTCTTGACAACGTCCACCGCATCTTTCAGAATCGCCACCACTTCTTCCTTTGTTGTCGAAGCAGCTGCCCCCCTCAGTTTCAATCCTGCGATTTTTTTTAATAAATAAATATAGGCAGCTCATCCTCATCTAGTGGTTCGGAGTTTTTACTCATCTTGATATATGAGCGTTTAACTAAATTGGCTTAAATGTCCAAATAATATATGTTTGGGTTAGTTTGTAAGCTTTCATTTTTAATTTTAGATTTTAAATTGAAAAAGATATATGAAAATTTTTACAGAGAAACTAAGTTAGTTAGAAAAATAAATATTAAAAAAATAGTATGAAAATTTTAAACTAAAGTTTAATTAAAAAAAATTTTGATCATAAAATTTTGTTGGAAACTAATAAAAAATAATAAGGAGATATTGTGATAACCCTTCGATCCTTCGACGACGATGTACCGGTCCTCCACAAGGCCGCCGACTTTCAGCGGAGAGTCGGTCAGATCGATGCCAATTCGAGTGGGAGCCATTACTGCACCTAATAACTTAATTCTTAAACAACTGAAATTCTGTGCGCTGCATGATATGGCTATATACAAAGAGCTATTTACACATCTCCCCTTGGCCTATTGGTTGAGAGCTTAGGCTTCCAACTAAGAGGTTCAAGATTCGAGTCCATATGTATGCGTTGTCTGTGTCAGTTTGCCTTAAATGACCTAAATGTCCCAAAAAAAACAAAGAGCTATTTATAGGCTCGATTGCGTGATTTTAGCCGTTGATTTTAAATTATTGCATATAATAATTTAACGTACGGATTCATTATTTAATATTTGTGAGAAATTGGTTCTGGAACGTCCACGCAGAAGCCAATGAACAAATCTTTTTGCGTCCACATTTAATTGTCTATATTTAAATTTATTTAAAAAAACGTGCAGAATTTCACTTGATTTTTGACTGATCAGGACCTGATCCGACGCAATGTTAATCCAATAATCCATGGGACATATTTTACGCAATGTAAATATAATTATTATAGACTGAAATATATATATTTAAATAATTATACACCCTTGTTGCGTCCTGTAATATTTGCAATTGTAGAAAAATATAAAATTTAGCGTATTAATTTTGTATAAAGATCCAACACACAAACAAATGAAATCCATGAGTGTAGCATTCATAAGAGAGACCAAAATTTTTATGTGGAAACCTCTAAAAATCAGGAGGTCTTTCCCACTTTAAATGAATCCACTAATGTTTGCAGTTGATTATAAATAAGGTTCTTCCTTGGGGGAAAGACCTAGGCTTAATGTAGTAAATATACATCATATAGAGTTTGTTATATGATGAGAGTTAGAAGAATCAGTGTTAGCATGTTCGTTTGGTCGGCAGGACCATAGTCGGCGAGCGATGTAGGTTGGAAGGACCATAGTTGGGCTACGGTGGTTGGAAGAACCACAGTCAGGGGATGGAGGTCGGAAGGACCGTAGTCGGCAGATGATGGAGGTCAGAAAGATCTAGTCGAATCATGGTGGTCGGAAGGATCATAGTCGGGTAACGATGGTTAAAAGGACTGCAGTCTGTAGGTAATAAAGTTCGGAATGACCATAGTCAGACGACGACGGTTAAAAGGATCGTAGTCTGATGAAGGTGATTGGAAGGACCATAGTGAGCAGGCAACGAAGGTCATAAATACCATAGTCGTGTGACGATGTGAGGATAGTTGGAAGGATTATAGTAGTATGAATGTGGTAGGAAGGACTATAATTGGTAGGCGATGGAGGTTGAAAAGACTATAGTCGGGTGATGGCTGGTGGGAGGACAAAAGTCAGGAGATGGCTTGTGGCCAGGCAGAAGTCCACCGATGGTTGGTGGCCGGGGGTAAATCCAAAATCATTTGGTGGTCAGATGAAAGTCATGAAACAGTTGGTGGTCGCACATAAGTCCATCGACGATTGGTGGCCAAGCATAAATCTGATGTCTGTTGGTGGTTGGGCGGAAATTCGATGACTGCTGGTGGTTAGGCAGAAATTTGGTGACAGTCGATGGCCGAGCAAAAGTCCGACGATAGTCAATGGCCGGGCAAAAGTTCGGCGACGATCGGTAGCTAGGCGGTGCTTGAGGAGTATAGCAGCTTTGTCAGTAAATGGGAGAAGATGAAGAGCATGTTGGGAGTGTTTCAAATGGACGGCCGATATAGACTCATTTGATCATAGAACATTTATCAAGTATTTAAATACTTTAATGATGTCAAAATTCGACATTCTTGGGCTTGTTTGATCTGTCTCATCTAGTTGCTCAATTTGACCATAAGCATGTCAAATTTGGAGATCATTCAATCATCTAATCTTTGGTTTGAACATTCTAAATGGGCTTCAGGTTCTTGATTTAGACCAATTTGGGCTCGGATTGAGTCGACTTTGATGTTGTTGGGTTCATCTTTTTGAGATGTCTAGTATAATTATAAGTTTGTTAAAATCAGAGTTTGGATGGCCCCGTATTTATGTCAATCCTAATTATATAAGAAATAAAATATTGGAGACATCAAATTTTTTCGTAGAAAACTTGACAATTAACAAAAACTTGACCTATTAAAATAATCCACTTAATAGTTGAAATTGTAAATTTAGCTCTTCTTCACAATTAGAGAAGATGAGATTACAAATATTTGATCACTTATTTGATCTCTCATAATAGAGATTGTGTGGGAAATAATATTTTTTTCCATCAAAAAAGAAAAGTACAATAAGGGCCAAACAAGCACAAAGACTGAATAAATGAAAACATTACAATTGGGGAGACCGAGAAGAAAAACAGGGCACAAAAGCCAACAGGGCTTGCTATTTGGAAAGGGTTTCCAACCACTCCGAAGTCAGGCACGGATCATCCAGAGGAGTGAAAGAGCAATAATCCACCAAAAAACCACCCAACCACCAGCACCGAAAAAAGGCCTCCAACAGACATAAGAAGAAACACCACCAAATGTTGCTAACAAGCCACGGATCCAGAGTGATGAGCCCGAGCCACATCATAGCCCAAAAAATAAAAACTATAACCGCAGAGCCAACAAAAGACCATATTCAAAAAAACCAAAATGTTGCCAACAAAGGAAAACACAAAACATCAAATCGGCAGCCACCAAACAAACCAAAAGAAATAATTATTTTTTGGATATCCGCTTTCTACGTTTACCCACCCAAACATTCTCATCTCGCAATATACCTTGCTAATCAAAAACTTCCACTTCCTCAACCTCAGAAGAAGAAGGAGAATAGATTTCAAGCCAATCAGTTTGCATCTTAACAATTTCCCCCGATCTGACGCCCACATGGGAAACCAAAGCATTAGCAGAAATTAAATTAACTAGGACCTCAACAATTTGTCCATACAACTAAATAGTAGGCATCACCAGACAAACAATAGCAGGGTCCACTTCGCAAGTAACCAAAGAATTAATTCGGACCTTACCTACAGGCGCAACAGTCAAAGCCAAATCAACAGAATTTTGAGGTGATACAACATGAGTCGAACAACTAGACAACTCATGTCCAACTTCCCTATTAACCTCACATAAAGTAATATTCTCCTTCGAACATTCCACAGCCATAGGAGTAGAAACACCCCTAAGTGAAAGATCAAATTGTTAATCACAATCACCCAATGCATTAGGACCACCCAAAACTTTCTAAGTTCGAAGCACCATCAAGAACCTCAGTAACAGCACAATTCAGAGGATAAACTACATAAGGGGACAGGGCCAGAGGCCCAACAGGCAATTTCGCCTCACTAACAGGAGGAAGAATTTCATGTGAAGAAATAGTAGTAATTAACACATCCAAAAGAATAGAATTAATACCAGCAGAAACAAGCCTAGGCAACTCAGCTAAATTTTCCACATTACCAACAGGAGGACCAAGATAAACAGCTAAATGGGGATGCAAAATCAGACAATCAGCTTTTGAATGACCCAAAACTTTGCAATGAGTATAATAAAAAGGAAATTCTTTCATTTCGACCTGCTGAATGATGATGGGAGCCCAACATTGTATGTCATACAACAATGTTCTAACGATGATAGTCATGTAAGAATAGTTAGACAATAACAATCGGGTGATCATAAATGGATTATGTCGTCGGGACAACAATGTTCAAATATTAACCCGAAGATGACGACAATTAGACAATGATAGTGATATATATATATATATATATATATATAATCTTTGGCCTTGAATATTGATAACAATACTATGCTTCAAAATAAAAGGAATCACTAAGGCAATGAAATTGTACATATGGATATACAACGGCACTATCAATCTACTATATCACCTTCATTGACAATAACACCATAAACATATGTGTTTATTTTACTAAAAAAAGTATAGCTTAAAATGAGATTGATGCAAAAATCAAATGTTTGTGAACATACAATATATAGAGTATGATCTTATAGATTAAAAAAGCCACTCAAATATTAATGAAATTCATATATAAATAACAGTCATATAAACTCCCCCATAAAATACAGTTATTCAAAGAGTACAAATAATTTTGAAAGAAAGGTTAGGCTGCATGTCATTATATGCGCAACTATCAAAAATATTATGGGATAATTTGACAAACACAACAACACACTTTATTAATCAAGGATTAACAATAGCTTTTAATGTTGGGCTTCCAAAAAAGCTTTGATTTAAAAGGAGGTGTGCAATAACATTTTAAAAGTTTATTGTTGTCTTTCTTATATGCATATTGATCATAATAAAAGAGAAAAGCTTGACCCAAATAACAAAAAAATAACATTACTAGCTATGATACCAATAATTTTGGCTAAATATTTTTAGATGTTGAAACAATTAATTTCAATGAAATTATGTGGAAAGAGATGTCTTAACCTCTCTTTGAGAATTAATTGTGAGGTATCCTAACTTAAGTTTTGACTTTTATATGTTTACCTATTTTGTGGGACTGATAATCTTTTAGAGTATGTCTT